TATACTTGATTACTTGTATTTAAAATACTCTTCATATTATTGGTATCAAGCATTTTGTCCTATACCTTGAATTGATCTCTCTTTCTTTTGAAATGACAAAAAGAGAGATATTTCTTCTTGTATGCTTATAGCAATTAATATAGGAGTTTAAACATTTGGCATAAAGAGCATAAATAAAAGGAAAGAGAAATGTTTCATGAATACATTTGTTAATGATGCATCTTTGTGTTTATTTGCTCATTTATATGCTCATGCCTTTTTATTATGACAAAAAAGAGAAAAATTATCATATGGACAAATTTGCTTGTGCTTGACATGCATATGTTTGATTATGCTTATTTCATATATTTGACTAACATATGTTTGTTGAGTTATGTTGGATTAGGATGCATAAATTAAGAGGGAGTTTTGCCATGCATTGTTTAAGAGGGAGTTTTCCAAAATGTCTTTCAAAATCTTAAATGTTTCAAAGAAAGTTTTTCATCAAGCAAATTTATCTTCAAGTTTTGTCATATCAAAAAGGGGGAGATTGTTAGCTTTGAATTGATCCTTATTTTGAAATGACAAAATATTAAGCTAAATAAGCTTGATCAAGATTTAAAAAAGATTTATTTAGTACATGTTTTTAAGTTTCATATTTTGGTACTAAATAAATAATATAATTTTCAAAGTTTAAACAAACCTTTCTTGGTTTCATATTTCTCAAACCAAATGTATCTTTAAAGATTATTTATTTGAGCTTAAATGAAAGTCCAATTGTTGTTTTTGAAGTGAACTTATTCATTTTGGACTTAATACAATTTTAATAATATTGATTTTGAGAAATATATTAACTTAAGAAAGTTGTTTTACAATAATAAAGTTTTCCAACATTGAACTTGTTTTATTTTTACTGTATTAATTCATAATTTTTTAATATTTAAATTTTATATGGTTGAAAAGCTCTTTGAGTCTACTTTCTAAAGGATTAAACAAAATCAAAATCTAAATTTTATAATAAAAGATTTTGAATTTTTACTAAACACATTGCAGTTGTCTAAAAACTGCATAATTTTTATTTTGATTGGTTAGTTTTCCTTTTTTATTTTCTTTTATTTTTTATTTTCATTTCAATTTTTTCTTTTTTTAAATAAAAATAAAAATAATTGTTTTAAAAAAAATATAAAAATGTAAAAAAAATCTGAAGTGAATAATAATTTTAAGTAAGATTTAAAAATATATGTAAATCTTATAAAGTAATTAATAAGGAAAAAGTTTAATTTTTCCTTCATTTTTATAAGTAAAATATTTATTGAATATCATCAAAGTGTTGGGATTATTCAAGGGATTATTTTACTAATAATAAAAATTTCACAAATAATAAATGAATATTCAAATAATTAATTATTTGGATAAATATTTTAAATTGTAATTTCTTAAAGAAAAATGAAAAAGTTTAATTTTCTTTAATTAATGCAAGTAAAAATATTTTTAGGTTTCGTTAATGAGTTGGGATAATCCAAAAATTATTTTTATTAAAATAAATATTTATTTAAATAATCAAAATAAATAAATAGATAATAAAAAAAATAAAAAACAATAAAATTATTTATTTAAATAAATCTCTTTAATGAAAATTTTTAAGGAAAATTAGAATAGTCTTTTTTTAAATTAGTAATAAAAAAATAATTTTAGGATTTCATCAAAGAGTTGAGATGATCCTAAAATCAATTTTACAAATGAGATCTTTACTTAGATAATCACATAATAATAAATAATTATCATGATTTAAAAAAATAACAATAACAATAATCATAAATTATTTATAATATTTTAAATTATACATGTCATTCATGAATAAAAAATATCTTATGATGAAATTTTGTGAATTTTGTGAAAGGTCAATTTTTTTTTGAAAATTTCATGAATGAAAATATTTTTTATAGATTCTACCAAAATATTGAAGAATTTATAGAATGTGAAAATAATAATTTTTTATAAAATAATAAAAAATATTTGTCATAAATAAATTTTAGGGAATTAATCTTAAATATAAAAAGATCGTATTATCAAAGTGATTAGTAACGCATATTTAATTGATACCATTCTTTAAATGGGCGATGTGAGAGTGCTAATACTTTTATCACTCGTAATCGTACTCTAAGACCCAATCTTGATTTCTTAGACTAAAACGTCTTTTAGGAAATTTTAATTAATTTAAAGATTTTTATTAAAAAAAAATCTTTTTGGTGATTAATTACACCTTACAAAAAAGATTTATGGCGACTCCATATATTTTCTCTAAATTTAGTGATCGAGTTCCCTCAAACGAAAGATCGTTATGACATTGCCTTTAACTTAAAAGGCATGTGACAATCGCACGGCACAATCGACACATTTTACCATTTCATTAATCTTACTTGAATCTTATGATTTACTTCTCTTTTTATCTCAACATTACTTTGAATAATTGATTCCATGTATCGAAAATAACTACTTTTTCATATTATAGCACTTGCTTCTCTATAACTACTAAATTTATATTACATATAGTCAATTTTAAATTTATTCAATTTAAAACTTCGAGACTCAGATATTATTTCCATGTCTTTTGTACACCTTTAAATTTTGCTAGTTAAGAATGATAAAAAAGGAAAAGGATGAATAATTTATTAATCTATTGATTAAGCTACAAAGGAAAAAAATAATTATAAATTTTAATTATTAAATTAATAAAATTTTCATCATCATATCTTTTCATCGTTCCTACGAACAAAAGTCTTATTTACTTTTAAAACTATTATTTTTACTTATCTCCCAATAAATTCTCTACAAATTATACATTTTAAGATTTGTTTTGTTTTATTTGTGCAATTCTACTTTTGTCTAGTGATGAATAATAAATCTTATACATCTATCCAGAGAAATAGTACGAATGCCAATAAGTATTAAACAAATTTCACTCATTATTCAATGTCTTTTAATGATTTGTCATATTTTTTTACATCACCATTTCTAAGTTTTGTCTTATAGTTTGACGTCTTTATGTATTTTTGGGTAAATATTTAGACTATGCAGCTATTACATTATTTTGAAAGATCATTTAATCAGTTTTCACTTACAATTTATATATCAATTTTTAATTATGGTAGGTTTAGGATTGTTATTACATAGGTTCAACAAGGCCTTTTCAGATAAACAAACTTCTACTATATTTTACCATAAAAAAAATGGGTTTGCAACTGTTGAAGAGTTTGAGATTATATTATGTTAAGCATCTAATTTAAAATTAATTGGTAATAAATAGAGGAACTCAACTTGAATATAAGATTACGAAAAATTAAATATTTATTAAACTAAGATTACACCACTTTAATAGATCCCATCACGTGTAGACAGAGATGAAAAAAGCTTACTACAAGAAATTAAATATTTATTAAATGTAGGATTGCATCACTTTAATAGGCCTCATTATGTGTAGACAGAAATGAAAAAAGTCTACTACGTGATAGATTTGAAAAGAGAAATAAAAAAAAAATCTTGATTTTGATACCATATTAAGCATTTAACTTAAAATTAATTAGCAGTAAGTAAAAGAATCTAACTTGAATATAAAATTATAAAACAATAAATATTTATTATATATGAAATTACATCATTTTATATTTATTAAACGTGAGATTAAACCACTTTAATGCAGTACATGACAGAAAGAACAGCAAGGCCACTTCTTTTACCCCCACCATCGGAACAAACAGAGATTGATAAACTTCTATAACCATCAACAACAAGACCTCTCCATTGTGAAAACAGAAAAAAAAATCCAAGCTCACCAACAATCAGCCACATTCCAGAAGAATCGCCTGTAAAAAAACTCAAGTATGTATGAAAAATACAATGAATTCTACTTAGAGTTTACTAATCAATATAGATGCCATGGACATGAAATTGATAACTCTTATATGCAGGGCAAAACATATTAAAAAAGGAATGAAGATGTTGTTGCTGCCTGACAGAAAGTCATGAAAGTTGGTTTGATGCATAATTGTCTTCTTGAAATGTGCATGGACATTTAAATGTTTATAGATTGTTAGTTAATGATCTTATTTAGCACCAATTATGCACAAGCTAAAACTACATAAATATTTGTCAATTTTGAGTTTTAATTAAACATTTATTCCATGAACTTCTTAAAGTTTTGATATATAATATGTTTCCATATGAAAGTGCTCTGTTAAAGGCATAAGCATGAAATATATATATATATTTTTTTATATAACTTGATAATGCCGTACACAAGTTATATAGTAGTCTAAGATGCTTTAAGCTTATAATTTAATTAGCAAGCAAGTAAAACTTTAGAAAATATATTCCCTTGATAGTGTTAATTATTACATGTAAATCTTGTAATTTAAAAAATATTATTAAAAATGTAAAAGCATATTAGTTTTTATTATTTTTGACATTTTGTTCGACAACTTTTTTATTTAAGTCATTAAAGAAAAAATTATAAATAATTTTATTTAACTTTTAAAAATAACATTTGTTTATAAAAAAAAATGAGTTTTTACTTCTATTTTTATTATTTTTTACATTTGTTTGGCTCATGCATGAATTTTTTTATTGAAGACATTAAAGAAAAAAGTGTAAATAATGTTATTTAACTTTTAAAATAATTTTTTGTCAAAAGTTATAATGAATTTTTATTTCTATTTTTATTAATTTTTACATTTTTTTGGCTCATCATAAAAATTTTTTATTGGAGACATTAAAGAAAGAAGTGTAAATAATGTTATTAAGAGTTATTCAATAAATTAAAATTTCAATATTAAATATTAATTAAGCATTGAATTACTGAAGAGTAATTAAGTGTTAAAAATTGAACAAAATCTTATTCTATTTTTGTGTTAAAAAGCATAATTTTATAGAGGTTTTACATTTTGTAAAAATTAAAAAAAAAAAGAAATAAAGTATTTTAAGTAAAATATAATAATGTTATTAAAAAAAAAAAAGAATTTGTTTTTTTTTCCCTTACGTATTTTGCTAGAGCGGCCTCTTAAGTGAAAGTGGAAAAAAATAGAAAAAGAAATTCCGTTGTTTCAGCAACACGAAAAGAACAGAGAGATGGATCCACAGCTAACCGAAGTTTCGCAGCTATTCCAGCGATTCAATGCTGCGTTTATCAGAAAAGATTACGATTCCTGCGCCAATCTCCTTTCTCAGCTCAAGGTTTTTGAGCTTGTTCAAACCCTAATCTCTCTCTTATTATTTTTCTTTTTTGGGAGAAATTCTAGGTTTTTTTTCTTTCTTTCATGTCGAAAAGATGGAGCCCATGTTGTAGACCGTCAGTTTCTTTGAAGGGTTGAATTTTTTAGGTTTTAGGAATTTAGGGGTTTTGTGTTGGATGTTTCAATTATTATTAGTTATCTTTGAGCTTGAAAATTTGATTGATGAAATTGATTGGCTTGGAACTATAGGAAAGCAATAAAAAGAAATCTTTCTTAAGTTCTCAAAAGTTTTGATATTGAAATGCTGCTCGAATAATTTGCGTTTATTTTTCCAGGTGTTACTGACAAAGTTCAGGAGCCTTCCTCCATTATTCGAAAATACGCCTAATGCGGAAAATGAATTGCTGTTAGCAAGTATTTCTTTTGTCTCTTTTTTTTTTTTTTTGTCATTTGTATGTTACCCCATCTTTATTTGAAGCGCTAGCTTTTTGTAACTTATAACTTGAAACTTCATGTGCAAGAACTAAATGTAATCTGGTTTAGAGTGAGGACTACCATGAAACCAAAGCTAAATCTCAGATATGATTTGGGACTTGCAAGTTTGTTTCTTTCTTTGTTGGGATCATTAAGCCTGCTTTTTGGAGTATAGATGTGGTTGATAATTGGAGTGCGTTTCAGCCGCTATATGAAAGTTCTTTTAACCAATTTTAATCGAAATGAGAATTTAAGTCTCTACTTGTTTGATGATTATAAATTATGGGTTTTTTACTTCTTTTTTTTTTCCACTAACAATTTCAGGGGAAATTTATGAGCAAGCTGTTGTTCTTAGTGTGAAGATTGAGGATCAAGATGCCTTTGAGAGGGATTTCTTCCAGTTGAAGCCCTATTATACAGATGCGGGGTTAGTTGCTTGTCTTTTGGAGTTATGCTTAAGTTTTGCTCCAAAGTTTTGGAATTATGTCTTGTCACCTTAGTGTAGCTATTGTCCTGTATGTATAATTTTCTATCTAGGCTTAGTTTTCTTGTTGTTGTTGATATAATATCACCCCCCCCCCTTTCTTTCTAGGTTTCTAAGTAGATGAAAATATAAGAGGTGCATTCTATAAAGCCCTTTATAATGATTCATAAAAGAAGGATAACGATTTGCCTAATTAGAAACATCAAGCTAGAATGTTTATATAATCCTTAATGACTTGTAGGTCTGAATTGTGCAATGAAAGTGATGACAGAAAAGATTGAAGAAATTTTTTCCATGTGTACGTTCAATTGCTTTGGTAATAATTTAAGAATGGCCTAAAAGCATACATGTTACGATTGAAGATTTCCTGCTGGCTATCATCTTCTTTAATAGAATTAAGGGAATATGTTGCTTGTAAATGTTTATATTAAGGTAGTATCTTCTGGATCAGATCTACACTGACTATTTTGAGAAGCCATTTTGGTTGGTCAATGAGTCTGCTAGGCACAAGCAGCCAATAATGCTGCCAAGTGTCATAAAGAATAATAGTGATGTAGGACAGCTTACGGGGCTAGGGTTTATGATAATGATAATTTGAAATTCTTAAGAAAATAGAAAAAATTGAATAAAGAAGAGAAAAAACTGAAAAGAAAATATAGCCTAAGCTTCACACCTAGGTTTTCTTGATCCTTGATCTCATCATGCAATCTAGAAGAAAGAAAACCTGAGCATCACATCTAGGCCTGATTGCATTGCACAATCTGAATAGCAATAATGCTAAAAAATTCTAATAATCATAATTTGCTTTTGATAAAAGAGGCTACTAGCCTACTACCAACCCTAATTCTAAAAGAACTAGAACTTTGATTCTAGGTAGGACTTTAAGGAAAACACTTAAGACTTTTAATAAAAGACTAATAAACTTGACCTAAAAAACCTAATAAGATAAAGAAAACTATACTAAACCCTAATATAAATGTAAAAATATCAAATATGACCCTAGATCTATAAGATATTACAATTAGCCTCATAAATACAACAAGAGTAACTAAATAAAATCTCAAGAAAGCTCATCCCACAATTAGCTTAATTGTGTCCTGCATCAAATTGTATGACTTATCCCTTATTTCCTGAACTCGTCTGCTGGACCCTGATTAAGTTTGTTGTCTGCTTTCCAGATTCTATGCTTCTAACTCTTGCACATTTATTGAAGTGTTGGGAAACATATGTAAATGATGTCTTCTACACTTCAGATCTTCTGGGATGTACTGTATTGCAATTCCAATTTTTCACACTTTTCTTTATAAGTAGTTATATTGATCCAAAGTTCAATGTAGGAGCTCATCATTTTGATGAGCAATCACATTTCTTTTTTGTAGGACTTTTAATACCTAAAGATATTTAAACAGTTGTTGGATCTTGCATGAGCATGTTGTTAAATTGGGTTTGTTAAACTCAGGCCATTTAAACAAATTGTCTTAAGTAAACTTCCACTCCTTACAATGTGTTTACTCGTGTGTGCTGAGTAATCTCTTATGTAGAAGCCTCTATTATTTATTCTTGGGAGGTGATACTAATTATTTACTTTTCTTTTGATGAAGCAGTAGCCGTCTTCCAGCATCCCCTCAAGAGTACCCGATTTTAGGTCTTAATCTCTTGAGACTTCTTGTCCAGAACAGAATTGCTGAGTTTCATACTGAACTGGAACTGCTTTCAGCCAGTGCTCTGGAGAATCCTTGCATCAAGCATGCTGTGGAGCTGGAGCAATCGTTTATGGAAGGGGCTTACAATCGTGTGTTGAGTGCTAGACAGACTGCTCCTCATGAAACTTATGTTTATTTCATGGATCTCTTGGCAAAAACAGTGAGGTAAGCATTTCTGTTTGATGCATGATGATAATTTGGGGATAAGAAGATCAAAACTTGTCAAACCGTCGTTTTAATTTTGGTTGTGTCTGTAATCATGTTGAACCTAAGTTCATTTAATGACATTTATTACATCAGTGTTGATGGTACTACCTGTTTGACAACTAGGATATTTTTTACTGGTGGCACTTCCATTTTCATATGCTTCTTTAAAGTGATAGAATCTACTGTGTTATGTATTCTTGTTCATTGGCCAATGGTTATTAGTTTATTTATAACTTTCCAGAGATGAAATAGCCGGATGCAGTGAGAAGGCATATGACTATCTTTCAATTAATGATGCTCGACAGATGTTACTGTTCTCATCCGATCAAGAACTTTTGGAATACATCCAAGAGGTAAGAATTTGTGTTACGGCCATTCAAAGAAATTTGTCGAAGGCTTTGTCATGCCAAGCTTACTTGTACCTGTTCCCTTGATTGCAGGAGCATCCTGAGTGGGAGGTGAAGAATGGATTTGTCTTTTTCCAGAAGGCAAAAGAATCTGCACCAAGTAAGGAGATTCCATCACTACAACTGATCAACCAAACTCTTAGTTATGCAAGGGAGTTGGAGCGGATTGTCTAGGGAAGTTGCTTCCAATGGTTGCTTTTGCTTCTTCTTGAGACACTCATGTCACTTGACATCGATTCTGTTGTTGATTTTACTTTCTACATTCAGTATGAAACTGAAAAAGTTTTTCATATTTCAAATTATATACTTTAGTGGCTCCAAATTGCTATGATCATGTCACTTTTTTTTTATAATTTCCAGTAGGAAATTTTTTTTTTTTTACATAAAAAGCTACAGTACGGAAATAGACTCGACAATTTAAAATACAACATAGTGGTATGATATAAAAATGATACGAATAAAAGACATGAAAATAATATGATTTAAAATTTTAAAAAAATCATAAATAAATTTAATAAAATTAAAAAAATATGTTTTATATTTTTGTATCGATACGAATTGTAATATGTGATTTTTGTGTAAAATATGATATTAATATAATATGTTATATGATATGTAATATGAATTGTTAGGTTTATTTAAAAATAAAAGAAAGAATTATGAGTGATAAGATTTGAATATTAGATTTGTTGAATGTTACTTTTTAAGAGTAGTTATATCAATTAAATAAATTAAATTTCGAATTTATTTTCAGCAAGTTGTATATAACAAACTTATCTATCTTGTGATTTAAAGAGTAGTCTGATGGTTGATAAATTAAAATCGATTCAACTTAGGAAAGAAATAACGAAGCAGTCACTTTCAATAGGTGAAGAGGGAAAACAAGGTGGCCATTTGATGTCAGTGATCAGTCTGTGGAAATTATTATGACATGCTTAACGTGTGGATCATCATTATATTTGTGTTGTTTTGATCGTCATCCCTTTTGCTTCTTTGCCATTGGAATAAACCATTGTGTAATGAAACATTAGTTTCCACATACTTGATTAAGTTTTTGAAAAAGTTTAGTTGTTATCTACTGTATATTAGTGGGAGCAGTTTATTGTAAGGTGACCCACTGGGTATAATTATTTAGTAGACTGTGATCGATATTGGAAGCAAGCTTGAAGTCTTTTCATACAAGAGGGTTTTTTTTTTTTTTTTTTTGTTAATTGAGTTGGATTTTTGTGAAAAACATTTGTGAGTTAAATTCTGAAATAGTGTGGAGAGAAGATTTGATCTCGGCAAAGGTGGAGACACACTGATTGCATTATGAAAAATGAATGCTACTTTGTTTCAAATCATGTCTTAGATTGACTTTTAAAAGTTAAATTTTTATCAACTTTAATTTTATTTTCTTTTAAATAATTATTAATTAAAATATAAAAATACCTTTTAAAAATTTTGAATAGTTAGTTTTCAAATATAATTTAATAAAATATTTAAAATATTAATGATCAAAATTGATAATATTCGACTGTAAAAAGTCAAATAAAATTCATTGTAAAAAAAATAAAATCAAACGTAATTAATGACATCATCTTTAATTAATGAGTGTTTGTTATACCTGGGAAAAAAGAGGGAATGTTTTTTTTTTTTACTGGACAGGGAGGGTTTGGCGATGAAGGGAGAGGAAAAGTTACTGTTCCCTTTTCAATTGTAGTGGGATTTTAGCAGCAACTGGAGGATTTCTAAATTGATCTGTAATTGTACACCCATTTACAAAAAAAAAAAAAAAAAAAAAAAGGGAAACAGTGTGCTGCTGCCATTACACACTAACATGGAGATGCGGTTTTTATTTTTTATTTTTTTTTGACGGACCAAATTATTAAAGATTGAATTTTAATTATTAAAAATTAATATTTAATTTATTAAAATATATATTTCAAATAATAAAAATAAATTAATTATTGAATAGACATTATTATAAACGTTAAAAACTCTATGGACTATGTGGAGAATGAATAATAATCCTGTCAATTTTTCCAACAATATTCTCCAAAAAGATTTTAAGCATTTCATAAAATGATTTACAATGTGAAGACGTTAGTAATCACCTTCTATCACAAAACCTTGCTTCTAAAATACTTACAAAAATTCCCTTTGTTTCTAAAGTTGTAGCCAAAAGACAAGATGAATAAATTCTCTGAAAGCCAGCTTTCTTTCAAACAATACAAGAATCTACCTTACGCGGTTGGAACGCTTTCTCATTTCTCAAAACTTCCCGAATAGAAAAATTAAAAAAAAAAATTAGACAGTTATGTTTAGATAAATTTAATAATTCATGTCATTGCATCGTGTTTCATGTTAAATATGATTTCAGATATGATATGAATATAATATAAATAATTTAAATACGAATATGATATGTTTATTATATATATTATATATAATATAACACAATTAATATATTTAAAATTAATTTATACCCAACTAACATAATATAACATAATTAATATGATTATATACGAATAATACGATTAGACACAATTAATTACTCAAATAATATAACACGATACGATATAATTAATACAATTATATAGAAATAATATAATTAGATAATATTAATCCATTTATTTAAACAAAAAACATTATTTAAATTAGTATTTAAACATCAAAATAATTTGATAAATATGATTATTAATTTATTTTTTAAATAAATTAAAATAAATTTTAAAATTTTTATATTATGAATAATACCGTATTTTAAATATGTCATTACTGTTTAACACGAATACAACATAAATAATATCGTATCTTAATTATATCGATACGATTAAAACATGAAACACGATTATACTAAATTTATACATAATTTTTTTGTATCATTTTTATATCATGTGTGAAATTATTAGATCTATTTTTAAGGTTGAATCTAAGATATCAATTTTATATTGAGCTTATGACACTGGTTCATCCTCGTATTCGAATAAAATACATTAATTATCGGTGATTTTTATGTCAAATTCATTCGTTCTGTTAATTGCTCCAAAAAATAAAATATATCACTTCAATACTACGTGGATATTCATGTAATATAAATTTTAATTTAAAAATTAAATAAAACCACATTTTCCCTGTGGCATTTAGGTGATAAAATTTTGTCATGTTTTAAACTAAAAATATTTTTAAAAAAATTACAAATTTAAAAGTTAAATTTTAAAAAATCACAAATGAAAATAAAATGTTAGATGAACCTTATAAATGTATGGTGAAACAATGGAGGCTAATTTTTTGGATGGGATTTTTTTTTCCTTGATAATTTTGAAATTTGAATTTAAATTTAGTAGTATTACTTTTTTTTCTTTTGATATTATATATTAATATTATTATCATTATTTATTTAAAATATTTACAATGATTAAATATTAATATTAATATTAGAAATAATTTTAAATTTTAATAAAATAAATATATGTAAAGTGGAATTATTTAAAAATATCGTACTAAATTAAGATAAAGAAAATTTATTTTATTTTTTTCATAAAATTAGTACACTGCTTTAACGTTAGAAGCCATAAGTAAAGTTAGATGAAACTTCCTCCCATCCAAATCTCCACAAAATCGTTTCTCCACTTTACGACATTTTCACGAAAATTCCACGTACGCCCAAATTCCACGGCGCATATCAAAAGACCGTACTGCGGTACCGATCAAAGTACAAAATTTTCATCCATCTAGGACAAAACCGTCATTTCGTTAAATACCGTTTCCTTTAACCAGCAACTAACACCGTCGATTAACACCACGTTACCCGACAACCACCAGCCTACCAGAATATTCCATCCTAGATCCGTAAAAAGTGTAATGAATATTAAGAAAGGTTAGTTCGTGAATTTTTAAATTTTGTAAAATAAATTATTTTTAGAGAAAAATAATAATTAAAGAAAATAGGTAATTTTTGTATTTTATGGAATTTAAGAAATATAAAATCTTTATATTTGATTTATGAAATTTAAAATTATCAAATGAATTTTTTTACTATTTAATAACAAATAAATAACATGTAACACAAATATAATTATTTATTTAATATTTTTATAATATATTAATAAATGAATATAAATGAACGAAAATAATAAATTGACATAATTATATTTAGATGAAGAGCACATTTTGAAGTTATTATTACACATTATCTTTGTGTATGATCTGTTTGGTCTGAGCATTTGTATGAAGTGCTATTCAAATAAAATTGTTTTATAAGTGTTGTAAAAAAAAATAAAAATAATATTGACCGAACTTTATGCACAAGTGCGATAAAATATTAAAAAATATATTTTATATTCTTTTGTATATTTCTAATATGAAACAAAAGTAAAATATTCAGCTTTATTACAATAAATCATAAGTTTTTAAATGAAATAAATAACTAAAATAAAGATATATTTTTGTTAATTAGTATTTGTTGTCACGTTGTTGGTGAATTTTTTTTAATTATAATTATATATTGAATATATAATTGCATATTGTACAAATATATAAAATTAATATGATAGCTAAAAATAATTACAATTAATAATATGCACATTAACATGTAAAATTTATTGATTAATAGAAAGTACTTTTAAGTTAATGTAAATTAAAACTAAATAAATTTTTAAATAATAATTTAAATTCATTTACGAACATTTTACTGAAATTTTTTAATTATAAAATAAAATCTTTTAGCCATTTATTCAAGTGGTGTATATTTTATTGGATATTTAGGATTGTCAAATATTGAATTATATTATTAGAACTAATGGTGCATTTGGATTAGATAAGGAATTTCAATAAAAGATTTAATTTGTAGAGAGATTTTTAAAATTTTAAAATGAAATTACATTTTTTTTATAAGAAAAAACTTAGATTAAATTAATTTCTTTTGTATAATTTGTGAAGTTTCTTATTAAGAATGATTAAATAAAAATTAAAATTGAAAATCGAAATTGATATATTGAAAAATCTTATTATATATATTAAGTGTGTAAAATTTGAAAATTTTTCAAAAATCTTATATATATTTTTATATAGATATTTTTAATAAAATTTTTAACATAATTTTTACCATTGAATAAGTAGTAGTACTAATTGAATTTGAATTATAAAATTATATTTTCAAAATTTTTACATATTATTAATATTTTATTGAATTTTATAAATTTATCCGTTTAAATTTTTTATTAATGTTTTTATCACATCACTTTTTTTGTAGGAAACTCAATGGACCACACTTAAAAAATTTTTATCTGTCTTGTTTTGTTTAACAAAATAAAAATAAAAATGATCAAAATCCTTAAAATTTGAATGAGAAATTTTAGAGAGCTAAAATTCTTTTTTCAAATTTCACCACCTCAACCGACGGAATTTGTGAAATTAATTAATTTTATAAAGTAAGAAACTAACATTTGTTGTGTTTTCAATTTTTATGCAACTTTTTTTTTTCAATTGTAACTTCAAAATCTCATTATAGTTTTATTTTTTATTTTTTTATATTATTAGTAATATTTGTACATTTTAAAAATTTAATAACATCTATATTACATATTTATAATATTTAATATTTTTTCTAATATTATTATTTATCTATTATAATTATATTTTGACACATATATTACATTTTTTAATATTTAATATTTTTATTTCTAATATTATTATATCTATTATAATTATATTTTTATCTCATCAAATTTTAATATTTAATTTTTTAAATATTTATCCAAATAATACAATTACAAATATTATTTTTTTAAGTTGATATGTTTTAAAAAATTTTTATTTAAACGCATTATAAAAATCTAACATTTTATTAACAAATAGTAAATGCAAGTGGCATAACTGAGATGAAATTGAATAGAAATCTTAGTGCTCCCTTTTATGAAAAAATCAAATTGGGCTCAACGATTTCACCTTTCTATGGAGACTTGAGATATATAGGATTTGAATTTCCGTTGCCCTTATTTATTATTACTTATTAATTATATCACCATATTTAATGTTACCAAAAAATGTTGCTAAAATAGGATAAAATTTTGTTAAAAAGGCGTAAAGTCAGCAGGGATTCCGTTGTAACGGCAGAGTGAAAGAAAACGGTTCGTTGGTGAAGGTGGGGTTAGCGGTTAGGTGCGGTGTTAGACGGGTAGGAAAGCGAGTCTGCATCGGCATGATCCTTCTACTTAACTCTCTTTTCTCTCTTTATATAACCCCACCTTGGAGTTGTTTGGACTAAACAAATCATCATCTTTGTTTCCTTTCCTCTCTCTCTCTCTGTTTCTTTTTCTTACTTGTATGGCAGCCAATTGGAAGAGTGGTGGAGGGATCGCCGTCTTGGGGAAGCGACTTCTTAACCGCACCTCCATTCGCCAACCATCCCCCTTCAACGACTTCGCCACTCACTCTCCTCCTGCTGTAGCTCTCACTATCAGGTTCTTTTTATCTTGCCCTTAATTTTCCTTCATTTCCTTTACACTTTTTTCAGTTTCTATCTTGTTAAGGTTGTACTGTTTGATGTGATTCGTGCTTTGCTGAATTTTGTACTATGTCTGCCATGTTACATTTTTTCTACTATATTTTTTGATTTATTGTTAAATTGCCAAACAATGTTTTCATTTCTTTTTCGATCATTTTCCTTAGAAGCTTCATTACTTTTGTTTTTTATTTTGATTTCCTCCGTTTAAATCTAGTTATTAAATTAAATTTATACATATTTTATTTTTATCAAGAAAAATAGAAAGAAAATGGGCTGTTATTGATAGATCCAATAATTTTAAATCAAACAAAAATATATGAAAAAATAAGAAACGATACGATTTAAGCTTTAAAAAGAAATTTTATATAAATAAAAAGTTGTTCGATATTTAATATATTAATAAAATAAATAATATAATAATTTTTATATTTTATATTTAACATAAAATACATACGATATAAAATATATATGCATAAATTGACATTCGATTAAAATAAAAGTGTAAAACTGTTAATTGCTTCAATAAAAAAATCTCGTACAGAGTGGAAATGCCGTACTCGGTGCAGGGTGGGGCCTGGCAAGGGAAGCGATAAATGGATAAGGACACACGACCCTTTTGTCTCCTATTGGACAGCTATCTTTTATTCACCTTCATTTCTTTTTCTTTTCGATTTTAGTAAAAATTAAGTTTTTTTTCCCCTTTTTTACACAAAATGATTTTTAATTTTATAAAAATTATATATTTTTTGTCTTAGATCTTCTGATATTTAATAATTATTTTAAATTTCGATTACTTTAAAATTAAATCAGATCAAATTTTATAAATTTTTTTTTATTTATAATACTCAAAATTTAAACTCATAAAAAATCAAAATTTTTATCACTCAAACCAACAACGTTAATAAAAAATTACATTCTTTTTGCGTAAAGAATACTACCATATAGTCTGAAAATTTTTAATTTTTTAAAATAATTTTTAATTACATTTTATTTAATTTAATTGGAATTTATTACCCTTTATTATATGGGGCTTTTGTAGAAAAGTGATTTCTAATTTTCAGTTTACATTTTATTTAATTTTATGGTTTTATTGGTTTCGCCCCTTCTATGGTCTTATAAGAAAAACCCTATTCTATGGTTAACATTGGCTTTAAGTTTATTTTTAAAAATATGTTTAATGAATATCACATTAATTATATTACTAACCATGTAATTTGAAGCATAGGAGGATTCTATAGGGTTTCAAACAATCCTTGTGAAAAAATAATAGGAAAAAAAATCACTTAAATATACAATACAATAATTTTCATGAATATGTTGATTAGTTACAATAGCATACTATTTTCAAGCAAATGTTAGCCAGGGTACTAAGTTAAAAGAGATAGTACTAATTAAAATTATTTTTAAATGGAGACTTCATCTGATAATAATTTTTTAAAAGGTTTTCAACTTTTTTTATTTTTAATTTATCTTTAATTTTTTAATTTTATAAAACTTAAATTTTTTAAAAATTGTAATCTTCAAAATTTTAACTAACATGCATTTCGATTTAAATATTATATTGGGCTTTTCTAGAAAAGTGATTTTTAATTTTTAATTTTCAATTTACATTTTATTTATTTGTTTGTTTGAGATCTTGTCTGACAATTATTTTAGATTTTAATTAATTTAAAATTGAGTTAGATCAAATCTCATAAAGGGTTAAGTTCTTTCAAAAAAAAATTTTATTTACAAAATTTGAAATCGAAACTTTACTTAAAAAAATCAAATTTTTTATTGCTCGAATCGAAAGCTTGCTTAAGAAAATTAGGTTCTTTATTATTTGGATCAACATGCATTAATTTATTTAATTTTTTGGTTTGATTGGTTTTGCCCCTTCTACAGTCTTATAAAAAAATAAAACCCTATTCTATAGTTAACATTGGCTTTAAGTTTAATTTTTAAAATATGTTTAATGAATAATCACATTAATTATATTAATAACCATGTAATTTAAAAGCATAGGAGGATTCTATAGGGTTTCAAACAATCCTTGTGAAAAAATAATAGGAAAAAAATAACGTAAATATACAATACAATAATTTTGATGAATATGTTGATTAGTTACAACAGCATATTATTTTCAAGCAAATGTTAGCCAGTGTACTAAGTTACAAGATATAATACTAATTAAAATTATTTTTAAATGGACACTTCATCTGATAAAATGAATTTTTAAAAGATTTTCAACGTTTTTTATTTTTAATCTATCTTTAATTTTTTTAATTTTATAGAACTTAAATTTTCTCAAAAGTGTAATTTTCAAAATTTTGAGTGACATGCATTTCGATTTAAAATTTAAACTAATGCTCAATTAACGAAAAAAAAATTCAACGCATGATTTGTCATGTTTCAAAAAATTTTAAGTAACACGCATGCTATTTAAACTAATGCTCAATTAACAAAAAAAAATTTGAAGACTTGATTTGTCATGTTTCACGTAAAAAAATTTTATATAGTGAAACATGATAAATGTTTTAATCAAAACATTAAATGCAAGAAAATAAACAAATAAAGATGGAAAAGTTTGGTCGGTTGGAGGTAGTTATCTGATCGAGTCAGACGCTGGTCACGTGTTTTATCATATTCATTTTCTTCTGGGTATTTGAATGGAATATCTTGACTCTCTTGGCTTTTGATGCTTCACCTACCCTTCACTATCTGCCACAAAATTTACACACCCACCCTTGCTGTCCTTTTTACTGTAGTTTACTCAACTTGTAATTAACAATCATTTTTAAAGCTTTTAATTAAATTAAAGGGAAACGTTAACTGGTGTTTCAAAAGCACTAGTTAAGATTATATTTTTATAAAAGCATATTAATGGGGACTATAAACACCTGTTAATTAGATCCTCTATTAAAATGAAATTCAAATCTAGAACAGTGGTTCAAAATTTGATTTTTTTTTTTAATTTGTAAATTGAATAAACAATGAAGCAATTGAAAGTAACAATTTTCATAGTATCGTTTTTTATTGACATTGTTGCTATTGATGGCATGTTTGTTTCTTTGATCAAGCATGGTCAATGTAGTGTTAGCTTCTCTGGTAGTAGCAGAACTATTAGCATACAACTTTAAGACGGTAAGATTGAAACCAATCCTGATCATGGAAGTTGTTATGATATGTGCAGGAGTGCTCACGCATCGGCATATGACAAGAACCTGGACGATCAGGTCCATTCATCTGTTGTTCCTGATGATGTGATTCAGCCTCAATCAGACAAGTACTGGGCACCACACCCGAAGACTGGGGTGTTTGGCCCTGCTACCGAGCTCGACGCATCTGCAGGTGGGGAGCAGGGCTTCCGTTCCTCCCTTGCCAATGGTGGCGTGAACTCGGTCCTGGAGGAAAAGGCCTGGTTCCGCCCCACAAGTATTGAGGACTTGGAGAAGCCACACCATCACTAAGGAGAAAGTCTAGATAACAGTAGGTGTGTTTTTAAAGTCTTGCTTCAATCTAATGAAGTACTGTTGGAAAACCCTGGTTTAATGTCTATGTTTTAGCTAGTAAAAATATATAGTTGGGGTATCTGGATGGCTGTTATATGGGAATTTCTGTATCTAGTTACTATGAACTATGTAACATACGAAGTTTTCTTTGCAATGCTTGCTCAGTATCTTCCTATGAAATGTTTGGTTATTTCGTCTATGGTATCAGCTGTCATTTCTATGATTTTCTTGCTCTAGCTCTTAATTTTTAGCTGCTATTCATTTGTCTGTATTTTATCTATAAAATATAAAAATTATCGAATTATAACTCATATTAACATATCAAATATAAAAAATATGTATTTTATTTTTATCAAATTTATTATTAATTTTTATTAAAATTTTAAATTATACAATTTATTTCGTATGATTTTCGTATCATTTACATTTGCAAGCATTTACAGCAGAAAATTGGTTTCATATTCCTATTTTCCTGACTTCGAGCAAGCCCGTCATATCATGACATCCCGGGACAAAAAATTGTGGTCTATTTCGCGTGGGTGAGACATGTGGGATTTGTTTGATCGCACCAAACCTTTGCAATTGCTTTCTCTAATTTATGTTAATGTTTTGCCTATTGTTTTGCCTTATGTTTTCACCCCTCAACATGATCACCCTGTCAGATCCCAGACAGGACACCCTGTTCAATTTCAGAGTTTTTTTTTAATGATTTAAATTCAAGATTTTTAATATAAAATCTTTAACTTCAGTCGAAAACAATTTTTAATACATATTTTGCTTCAAGATTATGCCATATAGTTTACAGCAAAAGAAGAATAAAAGGATTTTCCACTTTGAAGGTCATATATTTTCATTTTTTTTTTCTTTGTTTTGTGGGCCAAAAATTTTTTTTTCTCGACAAAAGGATTTAATTAATACAAATAAGATAAAGCGTTTAATTGAAATTGCAAGTGGTATGATGAGATAAAAAAATTTCCAGTCAAACTTTCTAGACAATGGATGCTATTTCAGCCCTTTATATTCCATAAGAGAGAAAAGGTCTCATGCTAGTAGGTCAAATGGGGATAGAATTTGTATAGCAGGAATTTTTTGAAAAAAACAAAAAAAGAGGAAAACCCAAATAGACATCAGGGTTTAGCATTTTGCTTATTGCCTGCCAGTGGTCTGTGGTCCTGCTTTTATTAAAAACTGAAAATGTAGCAGGAAATGAGAGCCCATTGGTTGTGGAAGGTGTAGACGATTGAGTAATGCCAACAACAACAAGCTAAAGCCGGCCCCTTCTGTTTTCTATGCTGGGTTAGAGGTCATTTTTCAACCATTTTCATCAACCTTTCAGGAATACAGCTCTTTAACTGGAGTAGAAATAAGACCTTTGTAAAATATAGAAATAAACCATCCTTTTAAGATATCCTTCAATGAGGAAATATTTTATTTTTGCTTCATATTTTCCTAATTTTTCAGTTTTATATACTTGAGAAAACCTAAAAAAAGTTAAGATATGATGGAAGCTGCTATCCCTGGTAAAGGTAAAGATAAGATGGACCATCCAAGTTGGCATAACACTTGCCAGAAGGGACCAGGTTGGATACAAAATAATTATGAAAATTTAACCATTCCACGAAATAAGATATCATGCAATTGACATTAGACCCACATGAATTGACAACCATGAATGATTAAGATATAAATCCAGGTAATAACTTATCTTCAAAGTATCATCAAAACAGATGCGCAAGAACCATGCATATCATGACAATAATGATGTCATTATCGCGGGAGATATCAGTAACAGTTGAAGCATAACTTTTTTAACAATGAAATCTCAGGTTTAAGTAACAACAGCAGTTGGAATGTTGAAATGTCTACTAACTACAAATATAAAGTCTCAAAGATCAAATCTTTGAGAATAATATAATTTTCAATCTACTTGTTTCTATTGTAGAACAATATGTAACAATCTTCAATTATATTCTGATTAAGTGATAATAATACAAATCAATTAATTTAACAATAATATAATACCTTTTATATTTTTACCAGAATGCCAAGGGTAAGAAGCAGAATCAACTCGGTATATTTGGTGAAGTGAGTTTTGAGGAGTCACATTGGTTGAAATTGACTGGTTGCATAAGGAGGCCGCACTGCTTGTAGCATCTCCTAATATAAAGATTTTGTTTACTCTTATCCCAACACCCGGTGAAGAAAACAAAATATAAGTATTGAGAGTGAAGATATTAAGAAATTTAAGTGATGAAACAAGGTTGTTAAGGTAGACAGACTTGCCAAAAATCAAGGAAAGGAGAAGCAAAACAGCACTATTTGGGTCTTCCTGTTCTGCCACCTTATTACTCTGACAATTCGTGAGCCCAAAGGAATTGAAGTAAGAATAACTACTACGGTTCAGGATGCATTCCTTTTCAACAGTGAACATAAAGCAATGGTCCTGTTCTTGTCTCAACATACCAAGTAGACTTTGCTTTAGTATAAAAATCAGTTTAGAATACTTTAGAAGTTCTTCCGGTCATTCATAGTACCTTCTACCTCCACAAAGATGGGGTAATCTATTTTTACATCCCTAATTCGATCATCAACCAACTAAAGTAATTTTGAGCAATTTATTTCAGACAAATATCACAGAATGCTTGACGACCACTTAATAGAGTAAAATCTAATTATCCATGCAGCCTGAAATCTGAATATCCCTTTTCTGTCCAACGAGCATCAGAGAGTGATCTGAACTAACACAGAAAAATCAGATTATTACAGTTTCACTAAGTAACTCCCTGATGTTTTGGATGAATCAATATAATCATTCAGAGAACTCCTGATTTCAAATGCAGAGGAAGGAACCGATATTAACAGTTGCTTTGATAAGGACATACTTTAAAATTCTGAATGCAATCAGTTCTCCAATAAACTAGATTGTTTCAACCAAAGCTTTCTTATCACTTAAATCAGGTGAATCTCACCTATAAAATCTTGTAAAGCTCACTGCCGTTACATAAGAGCAGTTTAATCTAGGTTCTCTCTCTTCATTTCTGCACTAAAAAACTGGGGACACAATAGTAGATCATATTTTCACCCTTTCAGTTTTCACAGCTCATTATTTTATCCTTATGCAAGTAAAATATACCATCCCATCAAAGACCTTCATCACAATTCCACCTGCTTCCTACTAAATTCTCTTCAGTTCATAGAAGTCATTAAACACCCTTTTTCCACAAGTTTCACAGCTCCATTTTCTCTTTCTCTCAGTTTTCAACCTTCCATCAAGGATACCATCTTGGACCGTACTTGGATTAGCTTTGATGAAATCTCAACTTCAGAGACAAGCCAATCAATGGGGGGCGGTTAGGAAATAGCTTTCAGAACCTTCATCTTTTGGAGTCAGACAATAATTCCTGCAAGTCATCAATGTACTGTTAGAAGAAAATTCTTTCGACTAAGGATTACTACGTCGCAATGCACCATTACCTACTTAATTTCCAAACATCGGTATATTTATAGGTGCACATTTTAGCAAGGTGTTCAATAATCAATTCCGAGTGACAAATCTATATAGTTTACAAACTTATGCATCTTTGTTCTGAAATTTTATAAAACAATAAGTGCAGCTTAGTTAGAGCCACAGCATTTGGGAAGTGAACATAACATGAGTAGACAATATATCTTTAACATCAAATCAGGTCACCCGTTATTAGCAACATCAATCAACTCCTGAAACAATCAAACTATAAAGAACTACGTGGTTCCAGTCTTTAGTTATTACCAACATTAAAACCAAATATATACGGTATTAGCAACATCAATCAACTCCTGAAACAATCAAACTATAAAGAACTATGTGGTTCCAGTCTGCGTTATTAGTTATTATCAACATTAAAACCAAATATATACCTAAGACTCGTGTAATACCTACAATGGCTCTGTTCAAGAACCATCAAGGCAGTTTGTAACATTTGCCAAGCCTTCCTATCAGGAGTGCATCCATAGGATTCCATTTGCTTGTATATTTCAGGAACCTAGCTGGCTGAAGACAAACATGCATTAGCAAAATATCATAAATGACAAATATGCAGCTAATCAAGTAACTTCAGAGACTTTGCACTTAGCACCTTATCAAATTTCTTGGCTCGAATAAAAGCTTTCATGAGCGTGCTATAAGTAACCACATCTGGACTAATATCCTTCAAAACAATAAGAAAGTCAAAATTAGAAAAAAGCATCTTGAAAGATAAATTGATGGAAGAAATAGAGGGTCCTGCACCAGTAGTTATCATTCTTAACATCCCCCCTCCTAAAGTTTAAAAAAAAAAAACCACAAGTTCATTCTAAATCATGCAAAACAAAAAGGCTCACACTTTCTCTTATATGTTGGTAAATTGATAATGCCTCCTCATATCTCCCAGCTGTACCAAAGGCATTGATCAACACATTCAGCATTACAATATTGGGTTCAATGCCTTCTGCTTCCATGAGTTGAAGAACCTTAACGATCTGTTCACAAGATACCTGCACAGCAGAAAAGTTTTAGACCAGCATGCAGAACAAAGGTTTCATCTACTTTTATCAAATAAATTTAGCATTCACCAGATCGAAGTTGAAAGCAATGGCTCACCAAGATGCCATCCAATATTATATTACTTAATCAGAGAGAGGCTTCTTATCAGTTATTAATTAGCAAAAAAAGATAAAAAAAAAATTGCAAGCCTAGTTCTGTTATCCCTTGCAGCCAAATTTACTCTCAGACTAAGCCAACTTAGAGCAGCTAAAGTCTCTTAGCGCTTATTTGTGATCTGAACTTTTTCAGTTAATCCTCAGTAGCACTTATAGAAGAAGAGCCAGAATTCTAATTTTAGTCTTCACAAGGAAATTAAGTTGTTTTGGTAGGTACTGAAGCCTACTGCAGCGGGATTGTTTCATTTGAGATTATATATAAATGTTTTTATGGGTTCAGTGAATGAATTGTTTTGTAAAATTCAAAATTATGTGCAATGGAAAATTTAGTGTGCTAAATTGCAATGTAAAAGAAACAAAGCATCATCTCTTGCAAAAATAAATACACATCGAAGACCAGACCCAGAAAAAAGTTGAAAAGGATTGAAAATTCAGAAAGGGGACACTGCACCTGCTGAGCATAAGCATTTGCTAAGACACAAAACATGCTGGCGGAAGGTAGGAGGCCTTCTGACTTAAGAGAAGATATGCAATTCTCAGCATCCT